AAGATTCTGCTGATAATTATCCAAAAATGACTGAAACAGCACATCAACAGAGAACTGTCAGAAGTGCAGACTGGGTTTAGAAGGGGTCGTGGTACTAGGGATCTTGAAGCTAATGTTAGATGGATCTTGGATGAAAGTAGGGAGTACCAGAGGAATGTCTATCTGTGTTTCATTGATTATGCAAAGGCATTTGACTGTGTGGATCACAACAAATAATGGCTGACTCTGAGAAGAATGGGAATCCCAGAACACTTGACCATGCTAATATGAAAGCTATGCTTGGACCAGGAGATAGTCATCAGAACAGAACAAAGAAACACTGCATGGTTCAAAATTGGGAAGGGTGTATACCAGGGATGTATCCTATCTCCATTATCTTTTCAACCTATATGCAGAACAGATTATCTGGAAGGCTGAGCTGTATGAGAAGTGTGGCATGAGGATTGGAGGAAGATTCATCAATAATCTGCACTATGCAGACGACACAACCCTGCTTGCTGAAACTGAGGAGAACCCGAAGCACTTGCTGCAGAAGGTCAAGGACTGCAATCTTCAATATGGATTGAGGCTCAATATCAAGAAGACAAAGATTCTTACCACTTGACCAATTGTCAACATCAGGATGGATGTTGAGGATACTGAGATTGTTCACAGCTTGCTTTAGTTTGCTTGGCATCACAGTCAACACTCTTGGCACCAGCAGCCAGGAAATTAAAAGATGCATTGCAATGGGAAATGCTATTAGAGACCTCTCTGTTCTACTGAAGAGCAATGGTGCCTTGTACAGGCCATGGTCATTGCAATCACATGCTATGCATCAGACAGCTGGACAATGACTAGGGAGGATAAAAGAAGAATTGATGCCTTTGAGCTGTGGCACTGGAGAAGAGTATTGAATGTACCATGGACTGCTAAGAAAACAAATAGATCCATCCTGGAGAGGGTGAAACCGGGTGGCTCCTTGGAGACAAGGATTCTGAGGCTTCATCTGACATACTTTGGACATGTTGCAAGGAGAGACCAGAACTTGGAGAGGGATGTCATGGTTGGGAGGGTGGAGGGAGGAGAGGAAGACCCTCTATGAGGTGGATTGATTCAGTGACTGGGGTAATGGGAGAAGGTGTGTTGAAGACAGCAAAATTAGCCCAGGATAGAGCAGGGTTTAGCGCTGTTGTACATTGGGTCGCTAGGCGACTCGATGGCACGTAACAACAACAGTAGCTCTATGGGCAGGGAACTCAGGAGGCCTACTGGTAAGGAGCTGCATTCACAACTCAAAGACAAGCAATTCAAATCCAAATACTAGATTAGTAGAATAGAATTGAGAATACAAAAATTAATTCATCAACCTACAGTAAACTTATATTTGACAAGGTAATAAAACCTATTAAATGGAGACACAACCTCTTCAACAAATGGTTGCCGAGTGCAACTTCGCCGCCAGCAGCCGAAGAAGACTCAGACAAACAGGATTCGTTGCAGAAGCTTTATTGAACAGAAAATGGCGAAATGGCCCCGTCTTCTTCCCCGGCACTTGCTTATATCCCTCTCGGTTCCACGCCTCCTGCTCTTACGTCTTAGAATCTCATTGGTGTTGAGGTCTTTCTAAACTAGGTCCAATGGACCAATAGCAATATTGCAGCCATAAATGGTGTTGTTTGTGCGTTAGTAAATCAATGAGGAGGTAAGGTGCCGGCGCCATCTTGTGATGGCGGTGTGCAAGTGCGGACCGCACATGTGCAATGACGTCAATGATCTTAAACGGCTAGCCTGCTGCTGCGGTCGGCCTGCTGCAAATGGTGTTGGCAAAACTAGACTTCTACCTGCAAAAAAGTAAAATGGGATCCACTTCTTACACTATACAGAAAAACCAGCTCAACAGACCTAGGGGTAAAACATAAAACCATAAATATCGTAAGAGACAAAATGGGAACAAAATTAGAAACCCTGACCTACGGCATAAATAGGATTACAAACAGTCAAGAATACTCAACCTGGAAGAGATAAAATTGATGACTGGAACCTTCTTACAAATCAAATTTCTGTGTGCATCAAAAACTTTCTCCAGCATGGTGAAAAAAGCCCATGGATTTGCGGGGAGGGAAAATGTGGCAGCAGCATTTCAGACAAGGGTCTCATAATTAAAATTTACAAAATATTACAGGGTCTTCATAAGAAAAACACTAATAACCCAATCACAAAATGAACAGAAGACATGAAAACATTCTTCAAAAAGGAGGAAATTCTGATGGCCAAGAAACAAAAGAGGAAATAAATGTTCAAAATCACTAGCAATCAAAGATGCAAATCAAAACAATAATGAGGTATCGTTTTACCAACCAACAGTAACAAAGTTTAACCACACCGCAAACACTGAATGTTATAGAGGATGCAGAGGGATTGGAATTCTTATGCACTGCTAGTGAGATTGTAAAATGGTACAACCTCAAAGGAAAACAGGTTGGCCTTAAAAAGCTGAACACAGAAATCTCATGATTCAGCTATTCCACTGCTAGAAATACATCCCAAGGAAATCAGAATTGTGACACACTGGAGATATGTACACTTATACTCACAGCAGCATTATTCATAATAGTAAGAAAATGGAAAAAGCTCAAATGCACATCAACAAACAAATGGATTGAGAAATTGTGGTACATTTACACAGAGAATACTATGCAATGCTATAGTAAAGAACAACAATTTTGCAAAATAACTCTACAACATAAGAATGTTCTAGAGAACATTATGCTGAGTGAGATATCATGAGAAGGTGGGGTGGGAAAAGGGGCAAGGGAAAATTACAGGGCAGCAGAGGTTCGTGGGTGGAGGAGGGTGTGAAGGATTGGGAAATGTTAATGGAGACTTGAACAGACAGGATGGTAATAGGCATAGGTTTCTTCAGTGTTCTTTCAGGGTTCTGAAAGGCCTATTACTTAGGAAGTAGATGGCCCATCCTCCTTCCTAGTCTGTATTAATCAGGGAGCTCCACCAAAACCTGTCCATCATAGGTAACCCTTAGGGCGTTTAACACACAAGAGGCACAGTTTTCAGTGACACAACAACCCCAAGTTATCTTAGTACAGCAAACTGGTAAGTGTTGTACCACTTAGAACAATGTTATCTCCAAACATAATTAACACCAGGCCCAAGGGCCAAACAACTTTTAAATACAAAAACCCATCCATCAGGTCATGATTGCTTAAACAAAAGGCTTCCAGCACACAGAAGATTGTTAATAAAATCAGTCAATCCCCTTATACGTGAATATGAACACAAGAGGCATAGAGCAATGGCAATTAAGTATATAAAATATAATGTATATATTTGTATAAAACACAAAGCAAAAGTCTAAAACATAGTGTATATGAATAATTACATGCAAACCAATAAAAAAATATGTGATTAAATCATACCCACCTGGAATTATTTATTTGAAAGTCAAATCGGCTACAAAGCAGAACTATCCATAGAAATAGAAGGTTCGCAGGGTTCAGTGGTAGAATTCCTGCCTTTCAAAGGGGAGGTCGAGATTGGACTCTTGGCTAACGCACCTCATGCACAGCTTCTACGTTCCTTTCAATGGAGATTTACATGTTAGGATGTTGAAGAAATTTCAGCCGAGTTTCCGACTAAGCCAGACGAGATCGAAATCTATGTAAATTTGTTTTCAAATATCAACTTCTAAAAATTCTATGGCTCATGCTTATCTAATCCACACATGATCATGGGGACGGAGCAGACCAGAAATATTTTCACTCTCTTGTGTTTGGACTCATCACGAATTGAAGCACTTCAACTTCAGCTAACAACAATCAAAACAAAAACCCTCAAACTCATTCTCTCATTGAGTGAAAATCAACTATTTGCTGACTTACCAGCTGCTTTTTTTTTCAGTATTCAATTTTTTTTATTAATTTTAATGACCATCTACAGAGACTTTGGATTTCCATTCATTCATTGTTTCCCACCCCACCCCCACCCCCAGTTCACTCTTCTCCTTGAAAAGCAAAAAACTCCTTCATTGGTATAGAATCCCGCACCCCCCGCACACCCCCCGCCCCCGCCCTAAGTATACTCCACTCTGCAACCCTCATTCCAGACTCTTACGATAATCATAATGCCCTACAATATATTGTTTTTAAACTAGTACTGAATGTACCATGGACTGCCAAGAAAACAAATAGATTCATCTCTAGAGAGGGTTAAACCAGGCTGCTCCTTGGAGGCAAGGATTCTGGGTCTTCGCCTGGCATACTTTGGACATGTTGTAAGGAGAGAGGTCTTTGGAGAGGGACATCATGCTGGGCAGAGTGGAGGGACAGCGCAGGAGAGGAAGACCCTCTATGAGGCGGGTTGATTCAGTGACTGGCGTAATGGGATGGGTGTGTCAGAGGCAATGAGATTGGCACAGGATAGAGCAGGGTTTAGGGCTGTTGTACATAGGGTCGCTATGAGTCGCAAACGACTCGACGGCACATGACAACAACAACAACTCCCTCATAGGCTTCAATGCTGCTCTTTAGGAGCTGTAAATTGCATGGGAGGAGATGGCTATCTTTCTCCTGCTGGTGGGTTCAAATCTCCTGCCATTAATTGGCGATACTACTTAAACCGAGGCCACCAGACCTTCCTAACACCACTTTGGAAATAAAATCCATGAAATTCACCATTCCTAAGATTATCCAAATCCTTAGAATTCTAGCTGCCATGGCAACTACAGCTTTTTTTTTCTTCCAGTGGTACAGTTGAATGACAGAATCACAGGTGCCAGCATCCACTACGGTCAAGAATGGCCATTTGCTCATTTGTCATTGTCAAATCTATATTCTTCCCGCACTATTTCCATGAAATTTAATATCTGAATTGTTTTATTCAATTATGTAAAAGGTCAGTTAGTAATACTGAGTATTTAAGGAAAGTGATAAAACTTAGTCCATCTCCTTCATGTATCTTCTCATGAACTTATCTGTGTTGTCTTTTTTCTCCCCCTCATTTAGTCCAAAAAGCAAACCACCCAGTGCTCCTCTTATTAATGAGTATGCTGATGCCCAAATACACGACTTGGTAAAAAGGATGCGACAACGAACAGCCCTCTACAAGAGAAAGTTAATAGAAGGAACTTTATCCTCACCAGAAGGGAGCCCACAACCTGGTAAGCACTGTACCTCAAAGTACGAGGAAGAAGGGAATTATGAGAGAATTTGTCCTAACATGATCATAGTTAAGATTTTCTTTAAAATAAATTCCAAGGCATTAATTTAGGTACAATTCTTTAATTTTTAAGTCACTGAGTGGCACAAAGACTTTGTGTACAAAAATTGACTATTTGAACCTGCTACCAGTGCTGGCAATCTGTTACTATTAAGATTATATCTAAAGAACTCTATGACACCCTATTCTAGTCTGTAACACAATGGTTCACTATGAGTTAGAATCAACTCCAGGCAACTTTAGTTTCATTTCAGAGAGGCCCAGGAAGGATAATGAAAGTGAGAAAAAGACTGAGAAGGGAGCTAAGTTAATAAATGGTGTGTTATAAGAGAGTTAATGCTACTGGCAGCCAGGACATGATCCTTTGACTGAAAAAGTATGTGGATTACACGTAAGTATTAGCCTTTTTGAAAATGGAAAGACCTGGGATATCAATCTGCCAACTCATGTTCCTGATTAGTAATTGTGAGCTCCTGCTGAGGCATGTTGTTAATACCCCAGCTCTTCAGACAAACCTGCTCCAACAGTTGAAGAAAATAATCTGAGAAATGTAGAAAGCTGTTTATAATACCTCTGGATGGACACAGCGTATATACCCAGGGCACCGACAATATCTGTCAAAGCAAGTGTTACTGTAAAATACAAGTTAAGAATATCCATAATGTATAGCCAGTTGTTGTTGGTTGTTTTCAAGTCGTCTCCAACCCATAGTGAGCTTCTGTAGAAAAACTGAGTACTGCTAAATATGCAACATCATCTTGATTTTTGGTATGTTTTGTTCCATTGTTATAGCTGTTGTGTCAATACACCTTACTGAGAATTTACTTTATACTAAGCAATCTTCTACACAAAGCATTTGAGTTGGTATAAATATGCCTGAGTATACAATTGGTCGGGGAAGGGAGGAATCAAGATTAGTCATAGAAGAGGGTCAGCAATGGTCAATCTCCTTGATAATTCCACCACTTGCTGCCATGAAGTTGCTTCCAAATCATGAGGACCCTGCAGGTCAGACTACAATTACTTCGTCAGGTTTCCACAATCTTTACAGAACTATATTATCTTTCTCCTTTGCAGCAGCTGATAGATTTTGAACCGTTGGCCTTTGGGTTGTGCCAAGTGCTTTAATCACAAGGCCACCAGAAGTCTTCCCTAGTAATTGCAGAAATATACTCTTGGTGAAATAGTACTCTGGTGGCAGAGTCTGTAAGAAGTTGCATTACTAATACACTATTGGTCCCATGGGGGCGGCAGCACTATCTCCAATACAATTTACAGCCTCCCAAAAAACCACTGGATGGTCAGCTCTGGGTGAATTCTGATGCAACAGTACTTGGGGTTTTTATATTAATTAAATAATACGTATAAAAGTAGGAATACAAATCTCCGTCTGTCAGAGTAGGGTGACAATAATGCTAAAAAGTACATGTTCTACATACTGTGATTATGTTTATGGAAAATATTTATGTATGTATAGGAAAAAGTTTAGCTTATTGATAATAGACAGTGAAAATCAAATTGTTATGTGCACAGAAGGGTATTGAGGGCTTCTTTACTAAGGTATGAAAAGGAAACTGAATTTGCAAAGTTATGCATTGATTTTAAAGAATGCCTTGACAAAGAGAATTAACTAAAATAAATCACAGTCACTTTGATAAATACAGAAAGCAAATCTTGAACTTTGCCTACAACTTAAAGATTATGTGTAAGGGTAAACCAAGAAAGCCAAGCCTAAGGCACATGATATTAATTTGTAATGTTTTTTTTTTCAGTGTAAATTCAAAGCACTAATTTCGATTATACTTAAACACAAGTAAAAATAAATTGCATATCAAACATCCCATGTATGACTGCTCTGTGACATTAATAATGTGGGCTTTAAACCCACTGTGCATTTCCGCATTCTAGTGTCCTCAGAATGTTTTCATAAATACCATTTGTGTGTCCTGAAGGTTGTATCTCAGTTGCCTTTGAATTCTAGAAATCCAAGTTTTTTGCATCTTAAATCAGCTTGATTGCTTATACGATGGTGATATACTGAAATGGAATTGAACTAAATAAAATGGGATGAAAATAGATCAAGCAGAAAGATATCATTTGGTTGCACATTGTCAATAAGTTTTCTCTCTTTTCCAGCATTGGTTCTGTCATTGAGTAGGCATTTTGAATGGTATTAAGAGCTTTAAAATGTATTTTAGAAAAGAACATAGCATGTGCTTCTCCTAAAAGTCAAGTTCAGTCATGATTTTCTCTGTAGTCAATGGCAGCTTCCAACTCCATTTTAGGCACATAACCTGAAAAAAATTGTCAGAATTTTTCTTTTCAATCAAAAGCGATGAATAATCAGTGATCTGTAATCTTCTTAAAAATGGTTTGTCTTTTCTTCCTTATGAAGCAAAGCCCACAGCTCCCACAGCTGCACCGTCAGGACAAGGAATTGATGCTAAGTTAGAAGACCACTACTACAGAATATTGTGTTTTAAACTCCGGAAGATTCCTCTGACAGATTACCTAAAAAAAATTAGACTTCCGAGAACCATAGATTCATACACAGGTAACTATCCCAGGGTGAAGATTGACTGACCACAAGAATCAAGTCATAAGTGTCTTCTATTTGCCTAGCCTATAGTCTAGCTAAAAAGCTGTAAACTATAAAGCATGTGAAGGATCTTTTGACACACTTTGGTGAGAATGAGAGATGAAACATTACTCTTTGTTTTGAAAAGGAAATCTAGGGCCTATCCTACTATTGTCTTTGAAAGGAAGGCACCAAAGCAGTCCTCAATAGGTATACTTTTTGTTGTTGTTCTTGTTGTGTGCCGTCAAGTCACTTGCGACTCAGAGACCCTATGTCAACAGTCCTAAACCCTATTCTATCCTGTGCCAATCTCACTGTCTCTGACACACCCACCTCAATTACCCCAGTCACTGAGTCAACCTCGTAGAGGGTCTTCCCCTCCTAATGCTGTCCCTCCATCCTCCCAAACATGACACCCTTCTCTAAGGAGCAGTCCCTTCTTGCAACATGTACAAAATATGTCAAACGAAGCTTCAGAATCCTTGCCTCCAAGAAGTAGCCTGGTTTATCCCTCTCTAGGACAAACCTGTTCATTTTCTTATCAGTCCATGGTACACTCAATACTCTTCTCCAGCACCACAGTGCAAAGGCATCAATTCTCCTTCTATCTTCCCTAGCCATTGTCCAGCTGTCTGATGCATAGCAAGTGATTGCAAAGATCAGGGCCTGTATCAGACACACCTTAGGCTCCAGAGTGACACCATTGCTCTTCAGGACTTTGGAGAGGTCTCTGACAGCAGACTTTCCCATTGCAATACCTCTTTTAATGTCCTGGCTGCTGGTGCCAAGAGTGTTGACTCTGGAGCCAAGCAAACTAAAGCTGTGAGCAATATAACATATATAATAGCTTTTGTATAATTATTATATGTTTATATTATGTTTGTCTTCTTCCAAAGCATCACATTGCTAATTATTCTAATAGAGCAATCCCCTCCTCCAGCCCCTCTTGGGAAAAGGAATGCAATGAGCAAAGGGCAGGCACAACATTACCACCCTCTCCACTTTAGTACCTTTCTTTTGTGCAAATATGATCCTTCTCCTTGCCCTCGGAGAACCTGGATCTTAACTACTGATGATCAGGAAACTGGTCATTTCAATTATTCTTGAATAGCTTGTCTCTCTTCTCTGATTGAAATAGTGCAATGGCCTTTGGAAACAGACACAGTAGTTACTTTTAGAACCAGAAAAGACATTTTTCAGTGTGAAATTACTTGAGAAGGCCACTTTGGGAGTCTTTTTGTTTGTTTGTTTTTTCACCAGTTCACTCAGAGTTTTACTAAAGGAGGCAGAAAAAAAGGGCAGGTGGCTCAGCATTTTGGCCCTGTAGCCTCTTCCATGGCACCTTTCAAATGAAGGATGGGGGGGTGGGAGTGGGGTAAGTAGGGGCAAGAAAAAGAGGGAACCAAACCCAGGCAGATTTTTTGGAGAAGCAGCAGGTAAAAGGGGCAAGTTCAAGTATTTCTCCCAACACAGCCGGAGTCCCCACAGAAGGCACTCAGAAGATTCGGAAGAGGTGACAGGGACGTAAATTGGTGCTAGTCCTATATCCCACCCCAAACTGTTTCCCCACTGCCCGATCCATCGCGGCATTCAGCAGAATGCATGATGAAGGTAACAGCTCCAAAGGCAGGGTTCTCAGCCCACCCCCCACCTCCCACCCCGGGATTTTGCACAAGTCTAGTGGTGCTGGACACCTTTAAGAGAGCATCTATGGGAGTTGAGGCCTAGGCCCGGAGAGCCCAATGTCTGTTCTAGAGCCACAAGTGGCCTGAGAACTCGATAGGGCATCTTGTAGTCTTTGTTTATTTCCAGAAGATAGTAGCCTAACCTAACCTCATCAAACTAAGTAAGGAACTTCCTTTAATGTTTGCTGCATACCACTTCAATAACATCAGTTGTATTTTCTCTAGATCGACTCTATCTCTTCTGGCTCCTGCTTGTCTCCGTGGCCTATAACTGGAACTGCTGGCTTATCCCAGTGCGCATAGTCTTCCCATATCAAACACCAAACACCACACACTACTGGTTTATTACCGATCTCGTGTGTGATATCATCTACTTGTGTGATATGATGCTGATCCAGCCCAGACTCCAGTTTGTAAAAGGAGGAGAGATAATAGTAAGTAAGGCTTGGTGAAAGCAGAAACTGACAAATTAATACTTTCTGTTTGTACTGCAAAAACTAACAAAATTGCTTTGCTTAAAAGTTTCACTGATTTTCTACATGAATGGATATTCAATCACAGGAAATTATCAAAGACAATGATAATAACTACACTGAATATTCATTCTATCCTGAGGATCTCCATGCATCTCCATGGCTTTCCTTGTGCTCATTTTTAAAATGGGAGTAACTGTACTACCTTTGCCGTAAGTTAATTAAAGTAGTTGATTCATGTAAACTTCGGGTTAAAGTCTGGAGTACAGTGGTATGCATTATATGTTGATAATCATTCTCATAGGGCCCCAGTGGAGTGGTGGTTAAGTACTGAGCTGCAAACTAGAACATCAGAGAACCCAGAAGACACTCCATGGGGTAAAATGTGTCAGTCTGCTTCCAAAAAGACTCACATCCTTGGAATTCTTGTGGGACAGTTCTATCCTGCCATCTAGGGTTTCTTTAAGTCACAATCAATAATATTTTTCTAGTTAACTTATTAACAATGTTCCACTTAATACCTTTAACAGCACTATGAAGAATTAGGAAATATGGAGTCCCTCTGTGCCATGGATGATGAAACATTGGACCAATAGGTTAGCAGTTCGAATACATCTAGAGGTGCCTCAAAAGTTGTTGATTTCCTTCGAGTTGAGCACAACTCATAGTGACCCTTTAAAAAAAGACTTGAAGCCCCTCTACAACTATCAACATTCATCAAAGTTCATAGAGTTTATGGAGGCATGTTGTTTAGGAATTAACTGCCACTCCTGCTTCCAAACCTTTCATAGTATGTTATTGTTGTTATGTGCCATTGAGTTGCCTGTAATGCATAATGAAGCTACGTACAGGAACTCTGAACCCTTCTCTGTCCTGAGCCAGTCTCACTAATTCTGACACAGCAACCACCATCAACCCAGTGATGGGTCTATCAATCCATCTCATCCGGGGTCTTCCACTCCTGCGCTGTCCAACCACCCTTCTGAGCATGATGTCCTTCAAGGACTGATCTCTCCTGGCCACATGCCCAAAGTAAGTAAAGCAGAGTTTCAAAATCCTAGCCTCCAAGAAGAGACTTGGTTTCACCCTCTCCAAGACAGACCTATTTGTTTTCTTGACAGTCCATGGTATGTTCAAGACTCTTCTCCAGCAGCACAACTCGAAGGCATCTATCCTTCTTCTCATTGTCCAACTCTCTGAAGCATAACAAGTAATTGAGAAAACAATGGCCTGGATTAGGCACACCTTTGTATCTAGACTAACGTTGGTTTTCAGCGCTCTGGAGAGGTCCATGACAGCAGATTTTCCCAGTGCAATTCGTCTTTTGATTTCCTGACTGCTGGTGTTAATAGTGTTGATTATGAAGCTGAGCAAGCTGTAATTGTTAACAAACTCAATCTCTTCTCCATTTATCAGGGTGCTGCCAAATGGCCCAGTGGTGAGAATCTTTGTCTTTTTTATGTTAAGCTTATCTATATTGAAGACTAATCCTTGACATTCTGCAGCAAGTGCTTCAGGAATTCTTCAGTTTAAGCAAGCAAGGTTGTGTTATCTGCATATTGTAGGTTGTTAATATTCCTTCAATCTTGATGCCACATTCTTCTTGATAAAGCCTTGCTTCCCAAATGACCTGTTCTGCATGCAGATTGAAAAGGCATGGGGCAGAATGCATCCCTGATGCACTCCTCTCCTGATTTTGAACAATACAGTGTTTCCTTGCTCTGTTCTTAGGACTACTTCTTGGTCCAAGTGTAGGTTTCATATAAGCATGATCAAGTGTTCGGAGATTCCCTCAAGGATAGCCACAATTATTGTGATCCACACAGTCAAACTCCTTCGCATAGTCAATGAAACACAGATAGACATTCTTCTGGTCCTTTTTGTTTCTGCCAAGATCCATCTGACATTGGCAATAATGTACCTAGTGCCATGACCTCTTATAAATCCAGCCTATATTTCTGATAGTTCTCTGTCAATGTACTGTTCAAGTCTTTTCTGGATAATCTTCAGCAGGATTTTGGTAGTGTGTGATATTAGTGAATATTTTTATAATTTCTACACCCTGTAGGGTCACCTTTTTTTGAAAGGGGAATAATATGGATCTCTTTCAGTCAGTTGGCCAAGAAGTTGTTCTCCAGATTTCTTGGCACAACTTGTTGAATACATGCAGGGTAGCATCTGTTTGCTGAAATACGTCAATTGGTATTTCATCAATTCCTGGGGCTTTATTTTTTGCCAAGTCCTTCAGAGCAGCCTGCAATTCCTCCTTCATCACTATTGTCTCTTGATCATATGTTGTTTCTTGAAATTCTTTTGTCAGCCAATTCTTTTTAGTACAATGACTTTGTATACTCCTTTCATTTTGTTTTAATGCTTCCTGAACATTCAATATTCTGCCCATAGCATCCTTAAGCATTGCAACTCATGGCTTGAATTTATTATTTAGTTCTTTCAATTTATGAAATGCTGAATGAGTTCGACCCTTTTGATTTTTTTACTTCAGCTCCTTGCACATTTCATTATAATATTTTGCCTTGTCTTTCCAAGCGGCCCTTTGAAATTTTCTATTCAGCTGCTTAACTACTTGATTTCTTCCCTTTGCTTTGGCTTCTCAGTGCTCTTGTGCAATATTCAGAGTCTCTTCTGACATCCATTTTGGTCTTCTTCTTTCTTCTTTGTAACGACTTATTGCATTCTTCATGAACGATATTCATGATATCTTCCTACAGGTTATCTGGTCTTTGTTAATTAGTGTTCAAGGCCTCAAACCTATTCCTGAATTGGTTTTTAAATTCATGGGAGATAGACCCAAGGTCAAATTTTGATTCCTGTGCATAAGATTTAACCTTCTTTAGTTTTAAGTTGAACTTACATATGAGCAGTTGATGGTCTATTCCACAATCAGCACCTGGCCTAGTTTTCACTGCTGATATTGAACTTCTCCAGTGGTTCTTTCCACAGACGTAATCAAACTGATTCCTGTGCATCTCATCAGGTGAAATCCATGTGTATAATCTGTGTTTGTTTCTTATAGAAGATATTTGCTATGAATAAATTATTGATTGTACAAAATTCCATCATTCTATCATTCTATGCCAAGCCTCATTTCTGTCACCAAGACGATATTTTTCCGACTACTGATCATTCTTCCTGGTTCCCAACTTTTGCATTTCAGTCACCCATTATTATTAAAGCATCTTGGTTACATGTTTGATCGATTTCTGACTGCAACAGTTGATAGAAATAATCTATTTCCTCCTCTTTGAATCTGGTTGTAGGTACATAAATTTGAATGATAGTGATATTAACAGGTATTCCTTGTATGCATATGGATATTATCCTGTCACTCACAATATTGTATTTCAAGATGGATCAAGAAATGGCCTTTTTAACTATTAAAGCAGCCTCGGTTTTTTCTCACTTTTTCATCTCCAGCATAATAGTTCATATGATCGTGGGATTCAAAATGCCCCATGCCAATCCATCTCATTTCACTAATACCCAATATGTCAATATTCAATATTTATGTGTTCCATTTTCTTCTTTACAATGTCTGGTTTTCCTACATTCATGCTTCTCACATTCCACGTACCCATTGTTAATTTCTTTTTACAACTGTTTCTCTTCCTTTGTGTTTCCAAATTTGAGGGCTCAACTTCAGTTGCCATATCTGTTAGTCAACTATGTTTACTTGTTTGTGAAAAGTCACAGCCTTGAAATTCTATGGAGCAGGTCGGCTCTCTGTACATGGCGTTGTCGTGACTAGATGGAAATGAACACCAGTACAAAGAATATATTATGTTTAACCTCCATGAATATATACAGAAATAGAAGTGTGAGAAGGTAGGAGAGGTGATTTTCCCAAAGTGCAAAAGCATAAAAGTAGCAGTCAGGATTCACCCTGAGACTGGTCTGGCTTCAGGACTCTGGCTTTAAAAAAAAATTACACTATACCAGTTCAGTTGTTGGATATGTCTGAATTTTATAATATTTGAGAATAACAAAGATCATTTTCCCTGTGTGGAACATTAAAACCATACATATATTTGTTGCGGTTGTGTACCATTGAGCTGGAAACAACCCATAGATGAACCTCTGGTGGGTTTTCACACAAGAGGAGATTGTCCATCTTTCTTCTTTGGAGCTTTGGTGAATTCGAACCGCATGTCATCAGGATTGCAGTGCAGTTTCTTGCCGCTAGGCCACCAGAGCTCCCGATACATATGTTTAAGTAAATTATATACATACATAAATCAGTGTAAATTTTTTTCTTGTAATAATCAAGCCTTAATCCAAGAAGCACTTTGTTCCCAACACATTACAGTCTATCAATCACTTCGATATTCCTAAATAATACAAGTATTATTTCATTCATTGCAATCTACTCAATATTCTCCGGTGGAAGCTTGATGTGAGAAACTCTCATGGACAAGTTTGGTATGGCACATATTGACTACTTCTTGTCATTGTATAGTCAGCACCAAGATTGCGTCTAAATATAATAAGGACATTAAGTCCAAAATTTTAGACTTTAGGGGGATACAGCTTTAAAAGAAGAATAAAGGTATTACAGATCTTTCAATCAGTTTAGGTTGTACAGTCTAATATGGTGACAGCTGGCAACACATGCTAAATCAAATTCAATTCAAAATGAGATACCACAAAACTCTCAGGTTCCTCAGTCACGCCATCCATATCTCCAGTATTCAACAGCCACACATGACCAGTGGCTACTTCATTGAAGGCTGTCATTATTGAAGGGGAAAAAAATACTGAAGAGTGCTATAAGAGAATAAAAGAACAATAAACTCTCAAGACCTTAAGAACAGCTAAATTACAGAGAAGCAGCCACATAACATGACACCATGTGCAAAACACAAACACACAGAAAACCACCATGGTTTGGTTTAACATTTGCTTACGTTATCTGCTGGTATTTTAAATTTTTTTCCACTCCCCATTTTTCCAGATTCATCAATATTTCTTATGAACAAAGGCAGTGAAGATTACCTCAGAAACTACCAGCATTTTTCCCTTGGGAAAACTTGTCATTTGAAATTGTTCTTTGTGTTAAGAGAAAGGCAAAGCTAATCTAACCAATGAAAGGCAGAAACAAAAGGAAATATTTTTGCAATATCTATGTATGCCCTGTATCCTAATGTCTCTTCTCTTCCCAGTCAACCAGAAGTCAGGATGCTTCATTTCCAACAGTGGTCCACTGTGACATTGTCCTTACAAGATACAAGACTCAGCGGGGGCTGCACTGAAGTTGTGCTCCAGTGACACAGTAGGAAGAACAAAGTGACGAAGTCTTTGACACCATAGGCTTATGTCTATTTTGGGATAAGAAAGATAGATTCCTTAATCCCCTGAGTATTTTAAGATAGTCAAAGAGCTGGAAATCAGCAGTTTGGGTTAGTTTTTTTTTCTTTAAAACACATGTTTTCTGAGGAGCACCCTAAACGCAAATCTTTGCTAGAAAGAAAATTTAAAGGCATGAGCCAAAGCTGGGGTAAAAATCTATTCAGAAAACCCCTCGGTAGATTTCAGAGCATTAGTTAACTCGCCAGCACCATCCCCAGAGCTCACTGGCAGCATGATGAATGATGAAGACAGTGTACAAATAAGAAGTAAACAACAAAAAAGAACGCTCATTTCAACCTCCATTAGATGCACGAGGGGGAAGAAAATCAATGTTTGACAAATGGAAAATGACAAAATCAGTAAGGGGAGACTTTTATTTTCAATTTCTGAAGAGGCCCTTGCACACAATGGAGTGTTAAAACCAAGAAAAATAACCAATAGAAGCACACTCAGCAGGCTCTATTTAAAATGCATTATCACAAACTACAAATAAAGAGCAGGAAACTAATGGCTTTGTTTGTTCAATAGAAGTTTAATGGCTTTTTTAATTTAGAGTAGGTTGTTCTAAGAAATCCAGGATGGCACCATGGCTCAACTACTAACCAAAAGGTCTGATTTGTTTTCAGTGTTTTTTCTTCTGAAAAGAGTTCTAAATAAACAGAAGATGTCATTTTGAGCCAAGTCAAGTCATTGCTGTGGGGTTGAAACCAAAGAGCAGCTGACCTTCAGGAGGTTTTCAAAGCCTTAAGTGGCACACAAGGAGATTGTATATCTTCCTTCCTCAGAACTGCTGGTGAACTAGAATCACAAGAGACGTTAGCAATGCACCTCCCTATGGATTACGACACCAGAACTCCTAAATTCTGACCCATGTCTAAGTCTTAAAGCTTTAGTTGTAGACTTCAAGTCTAAGTCTTTAATGACCTCTAACTCATTAAATTGGTTCTATCTAGCACTTATGATGTGATCATATAGGACAGAGCAGGCTTTCCTAGCCACATAAAATTTCCTAGGCTGTTTAGAAGAAGCTGGGGCACTAGAGACATTATTGCCAATATCAGATGGATCTTGGCAGAAAACAAAAAGGACCAGAAGAATGTCTATCTGTGTTTCATTGGCTATGCAAAGGCATTTGACTTTGTGGATCACAACAAATTATGGTTAACCTTGAGGAAATCCCAGACACTTGATTATGTCTATGCAAAACCTATACTTGGACCAAGAAGGAATCCTCAGAACCGGGGAGGGAAACACTGCATGGTTCAAAATCAGAAAAGGAGTGCATCAGAGATGAATCCTATCTGGAAAGCAGGGCTTTATGAGGAGTAATATGGCATCAAGATAGGAGGAAGACTTATCAACAATATGCGTTATGCAGATGACACAACCTTGCTTGCTAAAACTGAAGAGGACCTAAAGTGCTTGCTGCAGAAGGTCAAGGATTGTAGTTTCCAATATGGATTGAAGCTCAACATCAGGAAGACAAAGATTCTTACCACTGGGACAATTGGCAGCAACATGATAAATGGAGAAGAGATTGAGGTTGTTAACGATTACAGCTTGCTCAGCTCCACAATCAACACTATTCACACCAGCAGTCAGCAAATCAAAAGATAAATTGCATTGGGAAAATCTGCTGTCATGGACCTCTCCAGAGTTCTGAAAAGCAACAATGTCAGTCGAGAAACTAAGGTGTGCCTAATCCAGGCCATAGTCTTTGCAATTACTTGCTGTGCTTCAGAGATCTGGACAATGACTAAGGATGACAGAAGAAGAATCAATGCTTTTAAGTTGTGGTGTTGGAGAAGAGTCTTGAACATACCATAGACTTCCAAGAAAACAAATAGGTCTATCTTGGAGAGGGTGAAACCAAGTTTCTCTTTGGAGGCTAGGATTTTGAAGCTCCATCTCACATACTTTGGTCACATGGCCAGGAGAGACCTTGGAGAAGGACATCATGCTTGGAAGGGTGGAGGGACAATGTAAGAGAGGATGATACCAGACAAGATGGATTGATACAGTAACTAGGACAATAGGGAATGGTGTGTCGGAATTAGTGAGACTGGCTTGAGACAGGGCAGGGTTCAAAACTGCTGTACATATAGGGTCGCTATGGGTCATACATTCATACTACTGTCATGTTGAATAATGGTCAGGCTAATTATGATGTAGTAGAAACAAATAGATTGGGATTGAAATGTCTCTGAAATTAACCAACAGTATTGAAAGAAGAATAGAAGTTAACTGTTAACCAGTCTTCTTCATCCTTGGGATGGGAATAGAAGTACTCCCTGATAGTCCTATTGATTATTAAATCATATACTGTGTATACTTAGCCCAAAGTGATAGTAGTGATAGAAAATGCTAAAGAAAATGTTAAAAAATTAATGGATGCAAAAAAAAATTAATGGAAGCTTACACAATTAATTACTTCTCTCTCTACTAATTGTATATGTAGTTACTTTTCTTATTATTAGGCTTCTTAAGAGTAGGTGTAGTATTTTATTCATCTTATTACCTATTCTTGAAATTCAAAGAGTTAATACTCAAAAAAAAGTGAAAGAGTAGGTTACTTTCGATCTTGGTTTAAGAATTCCTTTGCATGGAATAATTATTTAATACATAGTATAGTTGATCTGTCAATAGCATTTACCTTCCTGTCTGAACATATCTTAATACTGTCCCAGACCATAGTGCATTCTTTGAAACACTTCTAGCTATTCTTTGCAAAATTAAAGTTTCTACGCATCACACTGCAAAAAAGGGTGAATAATAAGTAAATATCATACCTGAATAGAACTTCTTTAAAACTATCTATTGGGAGAGGATTTAAGTGTAATTAGAATATCCTTCCTAAAGTAAGCCTCCCCTGATGAAACGTTTTCTACGTAATGAACAGGCTTAAAAAAGTGAGAGAATAAAATGGAATGGCATCTTAAACATAAGTGCCTAATTGTTACCGGTAAGCATGCTGATCCTCATAAGGCTAATGATGCCGAATTTCTTTAGTGTTTAAAAGAAGTGGGATTTGTAAACTACTGATGACACTTTCATTTCATCGAGCAAGCTTTAGTAGCTTTTTCATTTATTCTATCATAGGGTCATGGACAACCGTGAAAGCAAAGATGTATCTGTGCTAAAATCTTTCTTCCTAGGTGGGGGGAGAGGAATACTTTCATTTAACAGCTTAACATTTTAAATGTGTCCGTTAATCTCGTAGAGACTTTGAATGAGCTGGCTGTATTTCCCCAAGCTTGGCACATGTCTTGTAAGGCAATAAAACTTGGATCTATATCTAGTCTATCTGTGACTCATTAAGCCATTTTGTTTCACAGCAAATCATTAAGTGAAGACATCTGACTTATCTTTCTAATATATTTCCATACAATTTAGTCCATATACATGGGTAAAAGATACAGGGAAAAACTTGGAGGAGGAATTGAACTGGAAAATTCATAATACTTGTAAATACTTTAGACAACCTGCATGGCAACTTCTGGAAGGCGTTACTTTCATCTGTGGGAATCAGATTACTTAGACAACTAATAAAAAGTGCAAAGAAAACCACTCTTAACTTGGAAGTGAAATATAGGAATCGAGGTACAATATTGTTGATGCTGTTGTTTTTAGGTACCATTGATTGAGTCACTATAAGTCATAGTAAACAACATAGTAGAACAACAGATCCAAATCTTGCCTTATCTTGTGCCATCCTCATCATCTCTGATATACTGGAGTCCATTATTACTATCACTGTGTCCTGTTGTTATTTCTCTCTCTTTGACCCTTTTCCAGAGAGGGCCAGAGACTTTTCTCACACAAAGCTCTGGTAGAATCAATCACCAGAGAGACATGGCCTTTGGATTGGTGGCACAAGTCCCTAAGATCCTAAATATAGTTAGGGCCTTAAAAGAACGAAATAGAATGCTAAATATAATTTTTTAAATCCCCTGATAATTGGGGCTTTCATTAATGGCCATAACCCTGATAGTCTTGCTGCAAAAAGAGGTGCAGTTAAAACCAAGCTACCACCAAATGTCCTTGGGTTGTGGGAACAACATGAAGAAAGTATATGGCACAAAGCAGTAAGCAACATAAGTGACTCTAGTGCAGCTTAACTTTGGTAAACAATAGGACAATGCCAAGGAGAAAACTTAACCAAACTAAGGTATTAGGTATTTAGTTTTGGATTTTAAAGATGTGAAAGGATGGACCAGTAGGACAAATGGTTGAAAAGATAGAGAATAAAAGTGAGAAAATGTGATCAATGAAATTAGCTAATATTAATGTAAAATATATATGTAATATATTTCAGGTGGATGAAAATGAGCTAAAGAGACACTACAAGAGCTCCACAAAATTTCGGGTACGTGACATAAGGGCAATTTCAAACTCGTTCAAGTTACCATTACGATTTTTACTTTAGGCTCCAATTATACATCTCTATAAGCAATTATACATCTCCTTTCTTTCAGAATCATAGATTCATAACAAGCTTCATGTAGATGAAATTTTATTAGAAAGAAGGGCCTGAAGTTTTTATTTCTGCATAATTACATTATACACTTACAGATATGTGCAATTCAGCATATGGTTCTACATGAAGCAAAGCAAAACAATTTAATAATACATTTAATGCCTGACCTGAAAACTGTTTACTCTGTCTAGTTTGTAGAGACTTCGAACCTCTAATTTATGTTTCATGATGATACAGAAATCTATAAAATTATTTCCACAAAATAAAATTTTATTTATTTCTTATCTGTATAAACATATTTCTTAAAAATAGGATAAAACAATTATTCAGATAGTATCTTTCTTTCCTCAAGTAACAATATTGTTCTGTAACTCATAATTATTTATAAGGTATTTTTAAATATTTGTAACTATGAAATAAACAGAAATTATTGTTGTTATGTGCCATCAAGTCAGAACCAACTCACAGCTGACCCTCCAGTCAGTTTTCAGAGGCTGCAAATTACACAGAAGAGATTGATCATCTTTCTCCTACAGGGCAGCTGATGGATTCAAATGGCCTGTTGGTAATACAGCTCCTTACTCCCTAAGCCACCACAGCATTGTGGTGTCAGAAACCTTGAAAACGAAATTTTATTTTCCTTTTTTTTTTTATCCGTTGCATTAGACCCTGTTGAGGGTATGATATCTAGCTATCTTACCAATATAAAAGAATGCTTTCCACACTGTGTGAAAGGGTGGTGGAGAAAAGATGAAGACACTGATAGCTGTGATAAGACTGTTGCAAGATATAACTAGAGGAGCCCTCGAGATGAAGCCAAAGTTAAGGTTTTGCTTGCTGGCATTGTGTCATATTCTTTGCCTCCTCTCACCTCTCCCCCCCCCCAACCTATTTCACTAATAAACCCCACAACTCAGAGTAAAATCTGAGTCAATTTGCAATGTATATTGGACCAAGTAATTAGTAAAAATGGGTGCAGGAGCATGTATGGTGGCATGTCTGACCATGTAGCTATATGTACAGTACCAGTGACTCAATGTCTGCTACAATGGGCTTTTGAGTATCAGGACGTGTGAGGGTGGTGCAGGATAGAACGGAGTTCAACTCTTTTTTTCGTAGGGTACTCGACGACACGTAACAATAAAATGGGTATCGTTGATGGAGAAAGTTCTCCTTTATGAAGTGGGTAGAAGTCAGACTCCGCTTACCATTTTGCATATGCTCTTTAAATAAGCTCCCTAAGCAGAGATCAAGGGTATCCAATGTTGCCAATTTATACAATCCAACAGCAGCCCCCTTCTTCAAGAACATCACTTTACTGAATAAAAATTTTGTTAAAAATATAAATATGGATTTAAGTCCCAAACTGTCTCAGTTGACAATCTACACTGATTAAAATGCCTTTTAATCTTTTAAATCTTTATTTTCTTTGTAAAATTTACCACTACTTAATATTCATGCAAGACGTACAGAACTTTTATGAACTCTACAAAAAGAATAAATACTTCTTGTAAATATTACAAAGCTTATTACAAACTCTTAATTACATTCTTAAATTTGAATAAGGACTAAATTCCCCAAATTAATGATTGTTTATAAGCATAAAATTTTATATTTTTCAACTACTGTTACATCTTCTTTTTAATTCCCTTAGTGTCTTCTGCCTGTCATAAGGTATTTATATGTTAGTTATTTTTGTGCTTTATTATCTTACTATTAGGGACCTCTTGGGGTAAGGAGTCATGCTATTAATCCAAAGGCATGAAGTTCGAATCTATAAGCTGCTCTGTGGGAGAAACATGGACACTCTCCTTCCATGTAATTTACTGCCTCTGAAAACCTGCTGGAGGGTCAGCTGTGAGTAGGTTCTGCCTTGATGTTACATAACAACAACTGTCCTACTGTTGGTTGGTAAACTTGCAGACAGACAGAATGTCACACCAACATCTTTTCCACAAGCCTTGTACAGTGTAAACATTTACTCTTGAATATGTTCAATAATTCAGTGAGGAATAATCTCTAGCTATTGTACTTACTTCAAACATGGCAGATGACTATCTGCATTGAGAAGTCAAATAGAGAGCTGAGCATCTGATTATACAGCAAACAGCCAGTGAATGTGAATTCTAGCATGTTACAAAAATAAGCCAACAGCTTCATGCTTCTCCTTTCTTACTTATAATAAACTAATTAATACTCTACATATTTTTCAAGTTCTTATAAGGATCAATATTGGTAGGGAAAAATCAAGGAAGTCTTTAATAGAAGACCCAATTTTTAAACCAATACTTTTTAACAGGTCATTTGTTTATAATAGCTAATCTGGTTAACTTAAATTGAAAATTCTCTTTCTATTCAATAACTTTAAAATTCTATTTCAAATTCAGTCAATTATTTCAACTTTCCCTTTCATGTTTATGGTTTTACACAAAACCCTAAACTGCTCTTAATTTTCTTAAAACATCTTCAATGTGTTTTTTTGTTGTTTTGTTAGATGTGGTCAAGTGGATTCCTACTCATAACAAACTTATGTACAATTTTGTCCTTGAAGCTTTCTCTCTTTTTTTTTTTGTTTATGTGTGTACCGTCAAATCGGATCTGACTGGTACAGGAAGAGATTGTCACTCCTTCAGCAGAGCATCTGGTAGATTCAAACTGCACACCTCTGGGTTTGCAGTGCAGCTTCTTGCCACTAGGCCACCGGAGCTCAACAAAGCTTTCTCTTTTCAAATGATCGGCAGCACCACTCTCGTATTGGTTGATTCTTTTTCAGCTTCTGTTTTTCAATTATTTTAATAAACATTACTTCTCAACTATACCTGAAAAGATACCATTTTGTCTTACATAAAATAACTTTTCTTACTATTGCAATTAGGGAAACATACTAGGATATTATTTTCTAATTATCATCATAATAGAAGGCTATGATAATTAGTACATGGATAAATTTTAAAATATACCATTTTAGTCATAATAATGCTTTAAGTGGCTTCTCCCATCAGAGCTGTTCATTGTAAAATGAACTGATTTCATTACTTTGCTCTCTTTTAGTCTGAACAATCTCTTGTAGATACTTTCACAGCAGTATAGCGGTAACAACATGGTCGAAAACGAAATAGCAGTAGGGAGGGTTAAGGAATGTGGATGAACCACCAACTACATAATTAGCCCTGAGGACCCACTAAATTGTCTGAAACATAAAAATGTATCACTGCAATGAATGTGTAATGGTTGAAAATAAAATCAAGAATGGACTTGATTTTTGGTCCAAGAGCCTCATGTTTGAAACACTATTAAAATGTATTGGAACATTAGCAACCATTCTGCCACTAAACTTCAGGCAACCTCTCCACAAAAATTGCAGCAGATGCTGTGCCTAAGGAGAGCTCAGCCTCATGAAAACTAAAAGCAATACATTGGAAATAGACTATCATGTCTGTTGTTATTTGCCATCCAGTTGGCTTCTGCTCAGGGTACACTTGTATATAATGAAATGAAAAGTTGCATGGACTTGAGTAATTTTCATGATCTTTGATAGGTTGGAGCCCAATGCTGAGGTTATTATCCAACCCATTCCACTGAGAGTTTTTCTCATTGCATTGAAGCTATAATAGTTTTTATGATGCTAGCAGTGATACCATGAATACTTAACTGAGTATTGTTAAGGATTAAACAACAAATAATCCACATATACAGGTCAGCTGTTACATGTGCCAGTATAAATCTGCCCATGTTCATAGAAGCATATAAATATGATTGTGAAATGTGCTTTTCCAACAGTTGGACTTTGCATCAGTAATACCATTTGATGTTTTCTACTTCTTCTTTGGATTTAATCCAATATTTAGAGCAAATAGGACATTAAAGGTAAGATATTTTATTGTTTATCTTATAACATTGGAAGAAATCTTGGCAAGTGATTCAAGCTATCCTACACTTAAGCAATACTGTTAGTTTTTCCAAGCTATCCTACAGTTTTTGTACTCATCAATTATGTGAATTTCTTTAAAATAATTGAAGAAAATAAATCACTTTGTCTACTAACAGGCATTGTTGCTAGTTTGTTGGGGTTTTTGTTTGGTTTGGCTTTTTGTTGTTTTTTCACTCTAGTGGCCTAGTGGGAAGAGCTGTGCTGAAATCCCAAAGGCATGGTTCACATCCACCAGCTGTTCTGTGGGAAAAGGATGGGTATTCTCCTCCCTTGCAAATACTGCCTCTGAAAACCTCCTGGAGGGTCAGATACGGATCATCTCTAAATCAATGGCAAACAACAATATCATTTATAAAGAGCATATCTCTGATATGCTCACAATCTCTAACATACTCAAGTCCATTGTCATAGTCACTGTGTCAATCCATCTTGTTTGATTTATTCCTCTCTTTCTTGGACCTTCCACTTTTTCCAGAATTATGTCCTTTTCCAAAATCTGGCCCTTCCTAACAACATGCCCAAAGTATGGGAGATGAAGTTTTGCTACCTTTCTCTGGACACCCACAAACAGAGCAGTGGTTAACAATTGTTGAATACATACTTACCATTACTTATGTTGCTAAAACGTGACACCGCATTTATTCCTCTCAATTTCATTCCAGAGATGAAGAGAAAAAAATCTATCCAGCATCACACTGCTACATTCTATCATATATTCATCTAACACAAAATTCTTTACTGTCTCAATTTGGCAGATACTCATCAAACAGAAAGGCCTTTCCTTCCATGCCAATGATTTTGCCAAGTCAAAGTAGGGGTGGAAATGAATGTAGGTAATCAGAGTAGAGGCAAGCAGAAATAGGCCTTAATAAAAATGATTTATCTAGAAGCAAGGAATACCAGAAGAATGTCTATCTGTGTTTCATTGATTATGCAAAGCCGTGTGACTGTGTGGATCATAACATACTGTGGCTGACTCTGAGAAGAATGGGAATCTCACAACACTTGATCGTGCTAATGTGAATCCTATACTTGGAACAAGAGGCAGTTGTCAGAACAAAGCAAGGAAACTCTGCATGGTTCAAATTTGGGAAAGGCGTATGCCAGGGATGTGTTCTAACTCCATACCTTCTCAACCTATAGGCAGAACAGATTATCTGGGATGCTGGACTCTATGAGGAGAAGTGTAGCATCAGGATTGGTGGAAGATCCATCAACAATCTGTTATGCAAATGACACAACCCTGCTTGCTGAAATGGGGGTTGCTGCAGAAGGTCAAACTCAAGAACACAAAGATTCTCATCACTTGGCCAATTAATTGTCAGCATAAGTAAGAATGGATGGTGAACAGATTGACATTGTTCACAGCCTTAGTCCGGTTGGCTCTACAGTCAACACTCTTGTCACCAGCAGCCAGGAAATTAAAAGGCATATTGAAATGGGACTTCCTTGTATGCGTATGGATATTATCCTATCACTCACCACATTGTATTTCAGGATGGATCTAGAAATGACTTTTTAAATTATGAAACCAACCCCATTCTTTCTCACCTTTTCATCCCCAGCATAGTAAATCATATAATCGTCTGATTCAAAATGCCCCATGCCAAGCCATCTCATTTCGCCTATACCTAGTATGTCAATATTTATGCGTTCCATTTCTTTCTTAACAATGTCCAATTTTCCTACATTCATGCTTCTCACGTTCCATGTTCCAATCACTAGTGTCTCCTTGCAGCTGTTCCTTCTTCTCTGTATTCCTAATATCTCAGTCTCAATTGCCATGTCTGCTAGTCCTAGCAATAGTCTAAGTGTGCTCTACTGTACATAGAGTTTTCGAAGGCCTGTCTTTTCAGAAGTGGATGGCCAATCCTTCTTCCTAGTCTGTCTCAATCTTTAAATATATATAATAGTATCTGACAGACAAACATTCCACAGAAAAGAACCGATGAAAGACAATTGCCCAGTTATGACAATGACCAATAGATTCAATGTTACAGCCCACCGATGCTTTCTTGCTCCACCACCACCTCTTCTTCCTATTGCCTACACCATTCAGTACCCATGTCCCATTGACCAGCCCCTGATGTGATGGCCTAAGTCTCAAGACATCAGGATTTCTGTGATTCTGATCATATCGTGCTGCTATGCATATCTTATGATGAAGCTGGTATGACTTCAACTTAAAGTTCGTAAATACAACTGTAATGTGCAACTTCCATTCCAGGATTGCCTTCTCATGGGTTAATACCACTTGTCTTCCATTTGAAGGCAGGTGCTGATGCAAATTTTCTTGGCCCGAGGGCCGCAGGGCCGAGAGTGCAAAAATCCTTTCTGCCAATGCTTCAGGGTCTGCCCTGGACAATGCAGCCTGAGGTTACCTGTGTAAAATCTGGCGATCAGCAAAAAAAAACCTCCGCCTCGCTCCTCCCCCATCTCCCAGAAATCCTTTCTGCCAATGCTTCCGGGTCTGCCCTCGACAATGAAATTTGGAGAACAGGCCAGCTGGCCCATTGACTGGAAAAAATCGATATTTGTTCCCATTCCAAAGAAAGGTGACCCAACAGAGTGTGGAAATTATCGAACAATATCATTGA